ATGTTACATTTCAGTCACTTATATATCTGCACTGAAGAATAACAATAATAATACAGATGCTATAAACTGAGTAGACTTGAATATTTATATATAAACAAGAGTCTCTGTTATCTGAACAGGCTTTCAGATTTCTGAGATCACTTCTGAAGAAGTCATTGATTAATGTTAATGTGAAGTGTGTATTAACTGTAACTAATTAGAACATATTACTTTCAACTGCTAATTAATCTATATATCTTCATACTTAAGAGAAAGATCAGTGTCTTCTCATTTAAAGAATGAATCAGTGTCTGTTCACACTAATCATATTATATTAGAGAAAGATTCAGAAGATAATTATAAGAATATCTCAGTGAAATAGAAAAAAGATTAGCTTCTGTTCAAATTTGTAAACAGAAGCTTGAAGAGATCAGATAATAATAATTTAAAGAGAAGATGATAATGAATATAATTCTTATATCTACTATGATTGATAATATATATAATATGAAAGTCATGATAGACAGTAGTCTATGTTACTATGCAATAATAAAATCTTCAGTTGTAAGATGTTATAATCTTCAGTGTATCTCTTTATTAAAATTCTGACTTCTTGCAGAATTTAATAATCTGAAAGATGTTTATATCTGTTATATAGTGAAACTAAACATAGATATGAGAGAACATCAATATGAAGATATCTATATATATGAAGTTGATAATCTTGATTATAATCTTATATTAGAACTTATCTGACTATCTAAATAAGACATCTTACTGAATGCTTGAAACAGAAGCTTGATATTCTCTACTAATAATAGAATTCATGAAGATGATATTCACAAGACTATGAATCTTACACAGATCTCTGTCAATACTTATAAAATACTCTGAAAAAGAAGTCATCATTAAAATCACTGATAGTAGAACTATATATCAATCTATTCTGTCAGTCTGACTAATATTAAAAAGACTCTAGAAAAGTTATCTTATATTATAATAACAGATTCTTGTATAAAACTCTCTCAATAATATCATGAATATCTAGATGTCTTCTGATAAGATAATATTATAAATATACTTCTCTTATAAGATTCTGAAATGAATCACAGTATTAAGTTAGAGAAAAAGAATGATAAGAACTCTGAATTATTATAAGACTCTCTTTATAATATATTCTGAGATGAACTTCTTCTTCTTTGAAAGACACTTAATAATCTGTTAAATAAAGAATTCATATATATTAGTAACTCTTCTGCTGCAGTCTCTATTCTCTTTACAAAGAAACTAGATGAAGAACTTCAGTTCTGTGTAATTTATTAAGAATTGAATAGATTATTAAAGAAAGACTGTTATTCTTTATCTCTTATCAATGAAACTCTAGCTCATATTAAATAAGCTTAATAATTTATAAAGTTAGATATCATCATCACATTTCATAAGATTCATATTATCAAAGAAGATGAGTGACTTACAGTATTCTAAACATAATATAATCTTTTTAAATGAGTAGTCACACTCTTTGAACTGATCAATACTCTCAGTATATTTCAGAAGTATATCAACTAAGCACTCTGAGACTTTCTTGATGAATTTATATCTGTTTATTTAGATAACATTCTTATCTTCACTGATGAATTCAGAAAGAAATATCAAGAGTATGTATAAAGAGTATTATAATAACTATAAGAAGTGAGACTATCAATTGATATTGATAAGTGTGATTTCAAAGTCAAGAGTACTAAATACTTAGATTTTATCATAGAAGCTGATAAGAGAATTTGAATAAATTCTGAGAAGATGTCTGTTATTCTTGAATGAGAGATCTTATACACTGTGAAAGATGTATAAAGCTTTATCAGATTTACTAACTTCTATCTAGACTGGCCGCTGGGATCATGAATTTCACGTTTGATCCCATTTGGTCTGATCCCATACATTTCTTGGCGTGAATCCCGCTGGGACTGACTATCAAAAAAACATGTAAAGTGACTATATATCAGATCTTAAAATGAAACCATGACTTGAAAAAAATGAGAAAGTGATTCCATTTGATTCTATTTAGTCTTATTCTTAGCATAAAGTTACTATTTTTAGACATTTTAAGGTTTTTTTTAGACTATTTTTAATTTTTTAAAAAGTAACGCTTTTTGATAACACTCAAATGAGATTTAAAGTCATTTAAAGCAATAAAAATAATTTAAATTGAGAAGTGAAAATCATGATCTCATTTGAAAAATGTGATAAGAGTAGACAGTAAGTCTCACTGGGACAGTATGGAACTACTATCTAATGTTAAAACCGTGTAATGAGATCAGTTGAATTGATAATGAGACTATCAAAAAATCTGGTCCTGGTCCCAGACACGGTCACACGGTCAGTCTACTTCTATCAGTGATTTATATAAAACTTCTCAGATATCATGAGATCACTTACAGAACTTACTAAGAAAGACTCAGTATTTCAATAATTAGCAGATACTGAAGCTGTATTTATACAGATAAAGAAGATATTCATTAATATCTCTCTACTGATAATATTCAATTCTGATTATAAGATAGTTATTAAGGCTGATTTCTCTGACTATATAACAGAAGAAGTGATATTATAATATAATAATGAAGATGTTCTATAATCATGTATCTTTATATCTAAGAAACTGAGTCCTGCTGAATGCAATTATAAGATCTATGATAAGACACTTCTTACAATTATACACTGTTTAGAAGAATGAGACTCTGAACTCTGAAGTATCTTCAAATTTAAGATAGTCATAGATTATAAGAATCTCAAATACTTTATAACTACTTATAAACTCACTGAATAATAGATATAATAATCTGAGTTCTTAAGTTACTTTCATTTTATAATACACTACTATTCTGACAGTCAGAACTTGATAATAGATGCTCTCTTATAATAAGAGTAAGACATGTTATCTGATATAATAGATACTCACTGAATAAACTGAGAGCACTGACTCTTGAATCTGAAGATACTAGTTAATTAAGATGAAACAGCTCACAGTACTATATATACTTCTCTGATTAGAACTGTTACTAATATCTTAACTTCTTCTGAATCTATATTAGATGAGCTATAATATATAGCAGCTTAAATCAATGAACTTCTTCAAGTACTCACTGAAGCAGTATAATAAGAAGCACTCTGATTTCTCTCAGAATTATATGTAAGAACTGACATCTCAGAATATTTAATTAATAATAATAATACTCTATAATTTCATAAATAATACTGAGTCTCTTACTCTGAATTCTTACATATCTGAATAATATAAGAGATATATAATTCATATATAACTGATTATTCAGACTGTGAATAACTGTATAGAATAATCTTCTAAGAGTTCTATTAATCTGAGATATTAAATAGTATCAGATGCTTCATTTAAAACTGCAACTACTGTTCTTCTATTATCTTATAAAAGAATCATAGAAAAGATCTACTGAAATCACTCAATATTTCTAATAGAATCTGATAAGATATAGTAATTAACTTTACTATTAATCTATCTGAGAGTAAGAGTTATAGAAATATTCTGATTATCATTGACTGACTAAGTAAAGATATAATATTAAAATCTTATAATAAGATGAATACTAAACAAGTCACTGAAGTCTTCTTACAGAGTTCATTCTATTAAATATATGAGTTACTGAGATTAATAGTATCAGATCAGAGCTGTTAATTCATGAGCACTTTCTGAATAAGAATCTATCAAGTTCTTAAGATTACACACTATCTATCAACTGTCTATTATCTTAAGACTGATGATATATCAGAACAGATAATTCAGACTGTGAAGAATTATCTTTATAAGTGTTACAATCACTTATAAGATGATTGATATAATCTTCTTCTACATACAGAGATTACTATCAATGATTGAGATACTATCTTAATAGATATAAGCTCATTCTTTCTTATATATAGTTATTATATGAAAGTATTAAATCTTCTAGAGATTACACAGTTCACACTGAACTCTCACAGTCTGATTCAGATTACTGATAATATAGTAATAAAGCTCTGAGATGTCTATGACTGAGTGAAAGTCTTTATAATAGTTATGAAATAAGATTAAGAGAACTAAATTAATATTCATCAAGATTCTGCTGAGCAGTATAAGATAGAAGACTTAGTATGATTGAATCTTAAGAATATACAGATTACATGTTCATCTTGTATACTGAACTATTATTATATCAAGTATAAAGTGATAGAAGTTCTAGATAGTTATAACTACTATCTTGATACATTATCAGAGATTTATAATATCTTTCATACAAACTTACTTCACTACACTATCACTGATCTGTTCTCTTCTTAACTAACTTCTGACTGACAGCTGTCAGAGATCATAGAAGATGTAAGAGGCCTACACTGAATAGATTGATATGATATTGATAGGTCTTATATAACAAAGAGAAAAACGTTAGAGAAGAAAAGAAAGAGAAAGTGTAGAAATCGGTAATCGGAGTGGATATTTATACACGTATGTGATGGCGTATGCGGTGGGGCCTACGCTGAATAGATTGGTATGATATTGATAGGTCTTATACAACAAAGAGAAAAATGTTAGAGAAGAAAAGAAAGAGAAAGTGTAGAAATCAGTGATTAGAGTGAATATTTATACATGTATGTAATAGTATACACAGTGAAGCTTCAGGGCAGAAGAATCTATACATATTTATAACAGCTGAGAATCAGCAATTGAGAATAACTGAGAATCAGAGTGTACATGTTCAAGAGTGAAGCAGAAGAATCTATGAAGTGAAGTGAAAGAATCTATGAAGTGTAATGAAATAGTCTATATAATTGATCAGGCGCAGCCTGTTACATTAGCCTCTCTCTTTCAGAAGCAGTTCTTATCAGTCAAGAACTGCTGTTTCAGATAACATGAAACTCAGAGTTCAGATCAGTTGATTATAGCTGACTTATTTCATAAAATATTATCAGCTACAGCTGTGAGATCTCTTATTGAGAATATTCTCAATCTCTCACTCAAGCTTATTATCTTCTTCTATGATGCCTGGCAGCTGTCAGTTGAAAGTCAGTTGAGAAGAAAACAGATCAGTGATAATGTAACAGAGCAAGCTTGTATGAAAGACATTATGAATCTCTGATAATATGTCAAGATAATAGTTATAACTATCTAGAACTTCTATCACTTTATATCTAATATCAAACCGCTCCACCACGAACTCGCTCGATTTTTCGAATAAGAACCCGCCGATAGATCCATCGAAAAGCCCTCGATCATACGAGCATTCTGACCCCATCGCCGACCGCATACCCCGTGTGGTGGTGGAGTTATCCAGCCAAACGTGAACCAGACGTCGTTCGGAACTCCTGCGTGGGATTATCCCCCATTCTCCCCTACCACACCACAACCCCGGGCCAAATTGCCATACAAATTGTAAGGTGAAGAGACCTAGCCGTATGCACCAATCTTCTTGATTTTGGAAGATCCCCGATCTGTAGTTGTGGAGATATCTGAGGAGCGACCTCCGCGAAAACCCTGTCCATCTTTGATGTTCCAAAACACCAACGCCAAGTCCCACCCTCGTACCGCCCTTCCCAATCTGGCCCATCCCCGGCAGAAAAATACAAAAAGATACCTCGGCGATAATATCAAGCACATAATCAATGGACAATGAGTCAACAGCACATCAACAACTATAAAATCAGTATACCCCAAGGTCTGACTGAGCCTTTGATCCCTGCACAGTGAGATATATTAAATCTAGTTTTAATATCTCAATATTCAATAGATTCTGCAAGGGATTGAGAACAGCAACACTAGGTTTCTATTGAATTTGAGAATTAACTCTATATTGATATAATCATTGACAAAGTCTTCTATTTTGAGATATAAATAACCAGTTCCTCTACATCCTGCTGGCAATATTTACATTATTATATAGAAACAGACTTATATTCTCTATAATATCAAGACTCTGAAGAGAGAAAGTCTTGATAGAGAGTATACAGTAGTGCATATCTTAGCAGTTTCTATCTCATTCTTCTGCAGCAGTTAATGCAAGAAAAAAAAGATCTTAGAAATAGTTTTTTACTTCTCTTGAAAAAGTAAGGTGTTTTTCTCTGAGTTTTACACAATATTCTTACAAAGAATTAAAAACAGAGTTGTTTTCTGTCATAATTTCATATTCTTTTAAGTAAGAATTACTTTTTCAGTGGCTGAAGAGCTTTCATTAATACTTAATTCTTTTTTACACTCTTTATTAACTGATTTAAGTTGCACACTTGTTGTGTGAGAAGAATTGAATAATTTAGAATAAAATTGAATAGTTTTAATCAATTTCTCTGCAAAAAATTGATTTATTTTTTGTCAGTTTTTCTCTCAAAAACTGTCATATCATCTGATTTACTATCAATTGATATCACACTTTTTCTCACTGTATCCCAAGAAAGAGATTGTAAAGATTTTATTGATTTATCTTAAAAATCAATTTTAGTTTATTAGATTCTCTTCAAAAATCTAACCTAGTTACTGAACTAGTGTGAAAAAAATCAGGTGTTTTATACACAAAAGTCTGCTATTCTTCTTTTGAAATAGTCTGACTAACTTTTCAATTGAAAACAGACTTAGAAATCTCTTAATTGAAACAGTCTGATCAACTTTTCAATTCAAAAGAGTTTAATAAATATCTCAATTGAATTAGTCTGATCAACTTTTCATTGAGTAAGAACAATGAGTTCAAAAGTACACTCAGTTGATGTGAAAAAAGATGCTTTCTCAAATACTATTTCTGAGATTAAAATTCTGAAGAGAAGAAAGAAAGAAGAAATAGAGAAACAACAAGTTCTTGAAATACAGGAACTTGAAAAAGCAAGTAAAATTCTTGAAAAGCAGTGTCTAAGTGAGATGAATGAAGAAGTTCTGTTAATTCTTCATGCTCAGGCTAGACAACTACAGAAAGTGATCAAGTTCAAACTTGGAATTTCAAACACAGTTTAAAAAACTTTGAAAATTTCTAATACAATCACTGACTCTTCTGTTTACTCTTCTTTCTTTTTTACTTCTTCTTCTTCTTCTTCTTTAAATCAGAAGAAAACATATGCTTAAGCAGCTGAATCTGCTATCTCTAAACCTGCTGTCTCTAAATCTACTATCTCAAAACCTGCTCAAAATTCTGAGAAAACTGAGAAGAATACTGCTCATACTTCTAGTGATAGAAGAGTGAAGAAAAAAATGCAAAAAGAGAAAAATCTTCAAATCTTCAGAAATAGAAGACTTATTCTCAAAGTCTCAAATCAGGACATATTGCAGAGAAATAAGCTAAACTCAAACCTCATTTTCAGAATTAGAAATGAAATCAATCAGCAGTTCTTTTCTCAGTTAATGACTGATATTGAAGTTCAAAAATCAGTTATAGCTTCAATTGAGCCATTCTTCTTTGAAAACTTTATCATTCTGACTACAATGCCTGAATTCAGTGCTGAATTCCTTATTTAGAATGAGAATCTCTGGAAATCAGCAGTAGAATCTTTGTTAAACACAACAATTCTATCTGAGAGAGATGAAAAGTGAGACAAATTCATTCTTTATAATATTTCAGTTGAAATTTTTGACTGTGAAGAAGAAATGCTACTTCTCAAAAGTGAATTAGAAGAATACAACTCTATTCAACTGAGAAAGAAGCCTGTATGACTAAATTCAATTGAGTTCAGATAAAGCAGAAGAAATGCCTCTGTTCTAGTATATACAAAGACAATGAAACAGTCAAAGATCTCTGAAGTAAGAGTAGCAGATTTGAAAATAAGAGTTCATGAATACAAAGACTCAAGAATGAATCTCAAAGCTCAAACACAGTGTTCAAACTGTCAAAGATATGAACACTTTGCAATCTTCTGTTTCAGAGACTCAAAATGTGCATTCTGTGTCAGAGATCATAAAACTAGTGAGTATAAATGTGAAACATGCTCAAAAAGAGGTGAAATATGTCAACACACTCTGCTTAAATACTCTAATTGTAAAGAAAAACATGCATCTAGCTCAAAAGAATGTATATTTGCTTCAAGAACTCAAAAGACCTGAAGAAAAGATGAAGCTCAGAGTAAATCTAGAACTGAAAAGAATAGTCAAGCCAGTAAACTCACAACTGCAAGCTCAAAAAGAAGAAACTCTCAACTATCTAAGTCTTCAAACTTCAATTCTTCAGCTAAATGTAAACAGAATTTGAATTCTCAAACTTCTGTTAAGATTAGAGAATTGAGAAATGACTCTGATGATAAACTAGATATAATACAAGCAGTTGAGATTTCTACTTTTCAGAACAGTTATAATCTACTATCTGATAATAGTGATTAGATTCTACTCTACTCTCTTTTAGTATGAATATATAACAAAAACAACAAAAAAAGTTTAAAAACTCTTTAAAAATCACATTTATTCAAAATAATGTGAATAGAAACTCAAATTGCATTTATTCTTATCTTCAAATTGCATTTGAATAAAAAGTTAATTTTATACTGCTTCAGGAGCCGAATTTTAATGCTGAGCAAAAATATGTCATTTCTCATTCAAGCTACTACTGCTTTTTATCTCAAAAGTCTGAGATAAAGTCAAGAGTAGTGATCTATGAAAGAAAGAGATCAAGATATCAATTTAATCTAAGATTTGATATCATGTCTGACCCCGATATTCTGGTGAGTGATATTATAGATAAAGAAAATGAGTTTGATACTATACAGCTCATAAATATCTATAATGAAAAGTCATTGAAGAAATATAACAATATCTGAATAATTGATAGAGGATTTCTGAACATAACTTTATCAAGAAACTCTATAATTGCAGAAGACTTCAATGCACATCATCTCTGATGAAATTCAGAGTGCAAGAGAGCAGTGAGAGCTGATAATCTGATTGAATGAACCTTTGAGCATTCAATAGATTTGGTTAATAAGTCTGATCAACAAACATTCTTTAGAAAAGACATGAAACAGAAGTCTATTATAGATCTAATCTTCATATCACAAAATCTAATGAAAAGAAGACTTGTAAACTGGTTTATTAATTCAAATGAGACATCAGGATCAGATCATGAGATTATTCAATTTAATATTAAACTGAGTGAAAAACAAATGAGTGAAAATCCTCTTCTCTCTAATCAGTATAACTTTGAAAAAGCTGATTGAAAAGCAGTTGAAAAAAGCATAAAACTGTTAAAATCTGAAAGACAGAATGAGCTATATTGGAATTCTGGTCAAGATATCTCAAATGAAATGCTTGAGAATAGAGTGAAGCTTATTACATCTATTATTCTAATAAGTGTTAGAGATAATATTTCAAAGAGAAAATCTTCTGAGTATTCAAAACCTTGATGAAATGAGAATATCTCATTTAAAAGAAAAGAATTAGCTACTGCTAGAAGAGATTGAAAGAATGATGTAATATCTGATGAAGAGTTCAAAGCTGTCAGAAATGAATATTTTTCAGATATTAAAAGAGTTAAAACAGACTGCTGAAATAAATTTCTTAAACAAGCACAAGGAAAGGAAGTTTTTAAAGCTTTTAACTATACTAAAATAAGAAGTGTAGCAAAACTTCCAGTCTTAGAATATGAGTTTCAGAATGAATCATATACAGCAAACTCTTTTGAGGAAAAATGTCAAGCTTTCATGAGAATTCTCTTTCAGAACTCATCAGATTCAGATTCAGATTCAGAGGAAGAGAATATATCACTTCTCAACTACATTGATGAAAATGACTGGGAATGGCCTGATCTTACACAAGATGAATTAGAGTCAGCTATCTTCTCAAGTTCTGTTAAAACTGCTGCAGGTTCTGATTCAATTAATCACTTGATTATTCAGAATACATATTCCTACTTAAAGAATGAATATTTTAAGCTCTTTTTCAATCTTTTGAAAAATGAATATCATTCTGAATGCTGAAGAGAAGTCACTGAAGTGATTCTTACAAAACCTAATAGAAAAACTTCAATTTCTAAGTCATATAGAGTAATATCTCTATTGAACTGTCTAGAAAAGGTTTTAGAAAAGATAATAGCTACTTAACTATCTTTTATAAGCTCTATAGATGATTCTCTTTTATTTAGTGAATAAATGAGAGATAGAAAACAGTGTTCTGTAATTGACACTGTTCTCTCAGTTGTTCATGATATTTAAATAGCAAAGCATGAGGGTCTGATCTCAACTGCAGTTTTTATTGATATAAAAGAAGTATTTAATCATGTTTCAAAGTCAAGATTAATTCAGACATTGAAGATATTAAAACTGCCACTTTCTCTAATAAAATGAGTTAACTGTTTTATGTCTAAAAGAAGTATACAACTCTTCTTTGATGAAATGAAATAAAACAAGACTGAGATAAAAGTGAGAGTATCACAGAGATCTTCAATCTCACTCATTTTATTTGCAATATACACTGTATATCTATTTAAAAATAGAAATATGAGAATAGTGTGATCTCTGAGTTATGTGAATGATATTGATCTAGTCTACAGCTCAAAAACTATCAAAGAGAATTTGAAAGTAATTGAAGAAGCTGCAAAGAAAATCTTTGTTAGAGCAGATATCAATCAAATTCAATTTAATATGAATAAAACTGAGTTAATTCACTTCTTTTCAAGATTCAATGAGAAAGAACTATCTCTAACTCTTTTAAATAGAGAG